GTGGGTATGGATGATTTCTGGAACTACACATTATAATGTTTTGCAACTTTCTATGAATAAATATTTGCCACTCTTTATTACTTCTTCCAATGATTTCTTTTTTCAAAATACAAAGAAATTCTAAGTCATTGATGTTGCTGAATATCATACTGTAATCAGTCTTGTACTGGTTGCAGCTGCATGTGATTGAGTATAAGTCTCTGCTTTGTGTTGTTGTAAATTATTTTTAATCGAACATTTTGGACTTTTTAGATGTCATATGCGGAATTCCCTGGTCCGAGTAACAAGCRAATTGAAAGACGTCTGTCAGTCAACCAACGCCAAGACATGGTTAGTACATCAGGGGTCATAAAAATTGTACAGTTGCTAARCTTTGAACAGCTTAAGGTACAGTTAGCAATAGTCCTCGCGATTGTATGGGCTATGAGTCAATACAGCTATAGGCCATGAGGGTGAGAGGACTAATTGGTTTAGTCAAATCCAACTAGTCAGTCAAATATATAGATGCAAACAAGATTTGAATTAAAGATAAATTCAATGTTGTGGTGTTCAAAGCCGGCACTTTTGGCTACAAGTAGGATATCACTTATAGCTTACTGATAGCTCATCCAATCAGAACGCATTATTGATGATAGACCACTAGTTGGATTTGACTAGTACTTTGAAAACCAAAGCATAGATCGGCGGCTATAAAGTCACGTTTTCGCCTAATTTCAAAATGCACTATGCTCAATCTAAACTGCACAATGCTTTTAGTGTTATATACATATATATGCCTAGTACACTATCAATTGTCATACAAATTTATCTCATCTTTGCAAAGGTTGCTGTTTGGTGGGCAACACAGAGTGATGAGGCGTGGCCCTGGTCTCCCAACTCAGAGAAGGATAGATCAAACATGATTATCTTTGGACTTAATGGGTAAGTTCTCTTGATAGTATCAATGTACACTGTATATAGCAGTTTTTGTATGAGCGCGGCATGGGAAACATGATACTGACTTGCAGCACATACATGGTGTGACATGTCGTAACATTGGAATGGCTTCTTATAAGAATGGTTATCGTACGAGTGGGAAACATATGGTGCTGACTTACAGCACGTACGCAGTACAACTTGTCGTAACATCGAATAGGCTTCCCATTGGAATGGTTATCGTACTCCGGAGTGGGAAACCTTTAGTACTGAAGTTACAGCATTTACCCTTTTACAATGTGTCTTAATATTGATATGGCTTCCCATAAGAATGGTTACTCGTATTGAGTGGAAAATGCACATACATGGTACCACTTGCCATAACATCGAATTGGCTTCCCACTGCAATAGAATGGTTATCGGATGGGTGGGAAACATACGGTACTGACTTACAGCATGTACCCGTTACAATATGCCTTAACATTGACATGGCTCCTCATAAGGATGGTTACCATCGCATGAGTGGAAAACGTACGGTACTGACTTACAGCACGTACACGGTACGACTTGCCGTAACATCGAAGTGGCTTCAATGAGAAACATGAGAAACATACGGTACTGACTTACCCCTGGTAACGGTACGACATGCCGTAACATTGAAATGGCTTCCCATAAGAATATTTATCGTATGAGTGGAAAACGTACGGTAAGCACTGACTTACGACACGTGAACAGTAAGGCATACTGTAACATTGAAATGGCTTCCCATAAGAATCTTTATCGTATGAGTGGAAAACGTACGGTAAGCACTGACTTACGGCACGTGAACATAAAGGCATGCTCTAACATTGAAATGGCTTCACATTGTATGAGTCGAGTAATTCATGCAATCACAACCTGTAGTTAAGGCTGCGGTAAAATATAGCATATACAGTACGCTTATGAATTTGCAGTATCATTTCTCACTCATATGGAAACCGTATACCATTTGCTCTTTAAACTTTAAGATTATATATTAATTACGAAGAAATTTTGCTTCAGAAACAAGTTGGAAATGCTGTGTTACGTCAGAACAGAATGTGATCCGTTGGATTTGTCATTCAGGTATTTAAAAAACAGTAACTTCAATAGAAAATAGTGGTTATTTAAAATAATTATAAACAAATTAAGAGAACTTTAGAGTAAAAGATATACCATACCTCACTTATAGAGTCATTAAACTGATGATGGACGATGGATATCGTCCGAAATATCTATTCAAGAAACTTCTAATTATTCTTTTTGTCTATAAACATTTTCACATACCTCACTTAGTCTTAGCTTGACTGCTACTGAGTGTTGATCATTTTAAAAGGAACAAAATACTAACAAAATACTGATTATATGTAATTATATCAATTTGATAGCATAAACCTACTATTTATCTATCGCAAATCCTGCGCTTTGATTGGCTGGGCTTCTAGTGGTCTATTAGTGATAGACCACTAATAGCAAAAAGTACAAATTTAAAAAATCAAAACAATGCAAAAAATATACTATTTCTACGTCATTTCAAAATTGTCTGTATCCATTTCTTTGAGCAACTAAAACAATTAGACCTGTCGCCCTCGTGGTCTACGAGTTAAAGCCCATGAGTTCCTTCGGCCTCATGTGCTATTGACTCGTAGACCACGAGAGACAGACTGGTCTAAAAGACCTCTTCGGCTTGGGGTACTTTTTTCCCATTTCAGACCACGTGTCATTCCCTTGAGAATAAGATTCCTTGTTGGGGTTGTATCCATATTCACTTGTGTCTTCTCATGTGCAACCGAGCGCAAAACTTAAACAAATAAATGATTCTCTAGGGAATGACATGTGGTCTGAAATGGGAAAACATTACGTCAGAGTCGAAGAGTACTATTGTTAAATATGACAATGTTTTTGATACAGTTACAACCAGCCTCATCATGTCCATACAGTGGAACAGTCATTGCCAGGTGGAGATATCTCAAGTATTGATAGCTGTATTTATGAATATACCAAAAATAAGGTACTTTTAATGATTTTTGTAAAAGTTGTTCTACCGTTTACACGTTTCCGGTTTCTTTTAAAACGGATTTTTGTATTCAGTTTTTATTCAATTGTTAACTTGCATTTTTTAACAGATTGAGAGAGTAACAGTAACTACAATCCCTATCAACTGTAAGTGTGGCAGTCCCATGTTTTATCTTCGCCCTCTATATCTTAAATCTGTGTAGTCTTCACTTTCATCAGAGTTTAATAATAATCTGTAGGTTTTAACTCTTCAACAGCGCCTGTTACTGTACACCAAAGAAACCATGCTGAAGATAAGCTACTTCTTGGATGTCAAGATGGAACTCTTGTAAGGATTGTTATATCAGATGCATCGGGTTCCAAATTACCACTGTTATCTGATTGCAGACTCGTTTACTCAGGGTTAGCCTCGAATCACCGTCTAAATATTCACAAAATGAACCTCCTCGGCTCTGACGTAATGTTGTCCCATTTCAGAGTCCCACGTGTCATTCCCTAGAGTATCATTTCTTTGTTTAACGGTTGCGCTCGGTTGCACATGAGAAGACACATGAATATGAATACGACTCAAACAAAGAATATTATCCTCAAGGTAATGACACGTGGTCTGAAATGGGACAACATTTCGCGCGAACGCTTCAAAGCCGAGGAGGTCTATACCATACGGTAAAGTAAAGAATGTACAGCTTTAACAATACAAACACTTTGAAATTCCAAGGATCTTGACTGGAATACATGAATATTCTACGCAAAATCGAGGCCATGACCCTAAGCAACAGAGAACTCGAAACTGGAGTATTTCTTACTCGACTTTTAAGTTAATTCATTAAGATGCTCTCTGCGTCAGGAGGCAGATAAAGCTACACACTTTCTAAACAATCCTTCCTGTTTTGAGCAGAAATGCATTTATAATTGCCGTTATTGCTTAGCTTTAGAATCTGACACTATATTATACTATCATTTGTGTCCAGATGCTTTATGACAGTCACAGAAGAATCACTCAGATGACGAAAGCAGCAATTGTAAGTACCATTCATTCGTTTATTCATTCCTCCATGCACGCATCCATGCATCCATGCATCCAT